TAATATAGAGTATAATCAGATAAGTATTTTACAATTTTCTAGAGTGCTTTGCACTTTGCGTAGCATATACTTAGCTCGTTTTTATACATTAAACACCTTCACGACTAAAAAAATTTAATTTACAGATTTTAGAGTGCTATGTGCTCCGCGAAGCAAGAAAACTAATTTTGGATTTGGTGATTTATTTATTCACAAATTATTTAGTATGGGGGGAATTGCTCGATCTTTGCTAGCAATCATGGATAAATAATTTAGCTTAAGGGTAGACCCAAAGGGTTATTGCTCTGCAATAAGTGTGGTTAGTGAGTTGGTTAGTACCGAAATACTTCTATGCTGATCTCTGATTCGTGGATTTAAAACACATGACATCGCTCCACTGAGGCTCATTATAACGTCATGTGATTTCGAAGTTACGATGTGGTTATAATTATTTTCAGATTGAATTTGCTGTATTCACTTAATTTATATATTTTTTCGCATTAATTATATTATCATATTATAACAATCATGATAAGTAATACTAATAATAATACTGATCCAAGTGAAAAATTTCCTCAATTATACGAGGTGCTTTTATATAAGAAAAAAGATATAACAGCTATTTAGAAAAAACTTGGTATTAACAATAATATAAATTAAACGGCAGTGTCGGAGCGAAAGAACTTGCTGATTCATATGAATTGCTGTTAGAATTGGTGAGGGATTTAATACCTATACAAATGAAACTTGGTATAGATATCAATTCCATTTTAGAAGCAGAACTTAGAAGGAATAAAGCCTCTTCAGATAAACCAATTAGATTATTTGATTTGCTTTTATGCTTATAAGACGATATAGCGACAATTTAGGAAGAACTTGGTATTGTCGGTTATACTAATCAAGAAATGGCAGAAGAAGCTGATAAAAATACGAGAGTGTACCTCTGAAAGTTTGAAGAATTTCATGGTCCCTTAGAAGATGTTCCAAGTGTGTTAATACAGCAATTCATCGATAGTGGGGTAAAGAAATTTTGGTTTACTGGTAAGAGACTACCATTATTTCCGAATATCTCTCTTCAACAATTGCATGAGATTTTTGTCAAAAAATCGGCTAGCGACAATCAGTGCCCATGTTTAGAATCAAAAGTAAAACAAGGAAAATTATCACAGATATATATACATCATAGCAAATAAAAATTCTTGGTTTGAAATTAGCTGGAGGCTGTCAAATACCCGATTACCCGATTACTTGCTCCATTCTATAGCTGGAATAACGTGCTTTCTGCGATATTATTTAATGATATATATTATAACCGAAAAAATAACTCGGTAAATAATTACCCATTCTCCACTACTAAATAAAATTATTTGTAATCCACGATGTGCATTTCCAGATATTCTAGCATCGACGAGAATGAAATACATACACAAGTTTTCGAAGCAAAGAAGCGTGATTAGTAATTGTATAGATCTATAATATCTGATATCTTAGTATTTTTTTTCTCTAGTCGTTGGAGCAATTGGTTTGTCATTCATCACACCATAATGTTCGACTGATGAAGCATGGCCTATCTTATGCCTACATGCCAATTGCCGTAAATATTGACGGCCAGTATCATTTTTACCTCCATGTACTTTGGAAGCATGATCAGCATCTATTTTTCTTAACATATATGAGGTAATTCTATGGCGACTTAAGAATTGATTAAGAGGTGCAACATTAGTATTCCTATCCTTATTTTTTAACAAGAAGGAAAATTTATTCAGTATTGATCTCTGAATCCAGATAAGTAATTCTCTTGCTTGTATTGGATTTTTTTCTATTGAAAGGAATGGCCGGGGTTCTTCTACCTCACCTTTATTTTTTGCATAACCAATACAGTACCAAGAATAGTCAGGATTATACCATAACTCATGACTTGGTTTGTATCGGTTGATACGAAGATTTTTTACATCTGCTGATTGCATGCATAGCATTATCATTATGTCTATTAGATTTTGCATTGAAGGAAACTTGGTAATATTATATTTGTTAAGTCTTTCCTGAACCTTTTCCAAGTAAAAAAACTCGGGACAATCATAACCATTAATTCCACGAAGTATACGCTTTCTTGCTTGAATCTGATTTGCTTCTTCAGTAATAAAAGGTATTTTCATTGCCTCAGTAATGAGATAATTAGCTTTTAAGCTACGTAACTCTTTCTGTAATAAATTAAAATGAGAATTTCCTGCAACAGTAGTAGGAGCAGAAGAAGCCAAGTCACATGCTATTTCATTTATTTCTTCAGGTGAGAGATTATTTTTTATAATATCTTGGGCAATAATTTTAATGAGATCTCTTTCATCAACATGTCTTCTAGAAGCTCGAATAGGAATAAGAGTATCAGCTTGCTCCTTACTTAATCCCAATTCTTGGAAGCGTCTTTTGGCCTGATCTC